GTAATTTGGCATAATTTGAATTTTGAACTTTCTACGTATTGGCGCTCTTCTCGTTCGCACTTTCTCGCGCAAACAATTTTACATTGTCGTCATTCGCCAAGGAAGACGCGGGCGGATTTGCACACGAGACCATCTGTTTCCCCTGCTTTTACCGTTAATTTTACAATGAGGAGCATTCATCAATTCGACGAGGAGCGCGGTTGATTCAAATTTCTATAAATAGACGCGTATCAAGCGAGCCAGTCATCACTCGCGCCAGTGTTGGGTAACGCGGGTATCATCGTATGGCGGCGAATCCGATACCGTATCGAATCCCCTAGACGAAATGCAAAGAAACAGACAGGACGAAGAGCGTAGGATCTAACCGAATCGTTATCCGGCATCGAAGGCGCGATTTCGGAAAATTCAAAACCATTATAAATAGAGTCGGCCGGAGGGCAGGAGGTTACAAAACGGAAACTATTCATAGCGGCGCAGCCATTTTCCGGGACTATGCGGTGTTAAACTTAGACGCCGCGCGGATCTCAGATCCGCCAGCGGAAAAATGAGTTTGGCCGGCAATCCCGGACCAGCGACACCCGACGGAGATTTTTGAGCAATGCTCTGAGGAGAAATTACGTCGCACTTTCTGACGCAACCCGTTCGTCCGTGCTGGCTCCTCCGAAAAAGATCCGCGTAATTCATATTTTTTTACGAATCGTGAGACTCTCGTACTTCTCGAGGCGTAATAAGTTACGTGTCGTAAGAAACTCGCGTGATTATTAACACTTTGACGAGACCGCTGTCACATATATGTGCCACTTCATTCCACCAGCGGTTGTCGCCTTACGAAAGGAAATATTTCTCGACAATGTGACGAGTTATTTACAATTGTAGACAACTGTAGAAGCTATTTATAGATTTTTTTTTCATGTAGAAGGAGAATGAGGAAAATCTGTCTCTCAGATATTTCAAATGAGCTCGCAAAATCTACCGAAGGTAGGAGTAAGTCGAAAATTTTTCCCAAATTCGTCAAAGTGTTAAGATTACTCAGGAGAAATGTCATTTCTTTTCATCTTTGACAGAGTCATTCGATCTGATTGTTTACACAATCGTTGTATTACAGAAAATATTTATATAAACCGATACGTCGTAACATCCGAACGCGATTTCCGGTGTGCTAATGTTATCATTAGCTGCGATTTGTGCTCAAAGGACCAAGTTTAGCCGTGACGAGCCGAGAATTAGACATAGTCCTCTTCGTGAGAACTCTCATCCGTCATCATCATGCCACTCGTTACTTTCGGTTGCCTTTTTACCGTGCGCTTGTCAGTCAGTGGCGATCTCTAAACTCGGTCCTCTCGAGATCTCTCGACGATTCTAACTACGCCTGTGCAAAATCTCTAGCGAACGATGAAGTTAACGAAGTGACTATACAACAGAATTTCCAAACAACACTTTCAGGTTCTTCCAAATATTTTTCGTAACATTTTTAAGACTTGATCAATTTTCAAGGGCGTTTTGAAAGTTTTGGGCGGATCGAAGACAATAAAATATTATCTGGAAATGTAACTTCTTCCGAGTAACTTCGATCCTTTTTTACGAGAGCATCTCCGCTTTCATCCGTTCGCCGCGTTCCGCGTTGGTGCTATTCAATCCGTTCAATTCATATTTGGCTCGTAATATGTCGCGATTTGTATTCACGCGTAAGTCACCGAGATGTATGTACAATCGACGCGACACGAAACAATATCTGCCGGTCGATTGGGACATCCACGTGGATTTTGCGGGCTCCCGGGCGACGGTTCTCGTGATACGTCACGTTTGCAATTAACAGAACAATACAGTCTACAGAGAATACTCATTGCACGCACACAAGTTCTCCGGTTGTTTCAAGGCGGAGACTGAGTCGCACGAATAACGCAATCATCGGACAAGTGCTGCCTCTTGATCCGTGGCAAGGGCAGCAATACCAAACATGAACGAGAAATCACAAGGACAAATCCTGAGGGACAAGGCAGACTTATCGCGAGCTCGAACACTCATCGGTCAGGTTCGCGCTCACCCAGGAAACCGCCAATCCCAACAGTCACATCTCGTCAATGCTATAATTTCTTCCATTCGTAACGACGTAATTGTTACATGGAATGTGCTGTTATACCACACTTACATTGTTGAGTGTGAAATTATAACATCGATCAATGTTACTCCCGATGAAAAATTTTTCATGCAAAATTATGTATGAAATTTGTCCATACATAATTATGTATAATTATATACAATCATATAAAATTATATATAATTATACACAATTATGTATAACAATATATATAATTACATATAAATCTATGCGTAATTATGTAAAATTATATATGAATTTATGTATATTATTATACATAATTATGTATAATTACGTATATAAGTAGAATGTATGAACATGAATGGAACAAATTTGATACATAATAATATATAATTATGTATAATTATATATAATTTTATATAATTTTATATAATTATATATGAAAAATTTTTCATTGGGCTGTTAGCTAGGGTTTACTAGGTACACTTGTCAGATTGGTGCAAAATCTCTGTCGTGAGATCATATCGAATAAAAATCTAAAATAACATAGTCTAATCTCGAAGAATTCATGATTTTAAAATTAATAACATCGACTGGGCGTCTTCCCTTATAGAAATATCATACTAAGAATCATTGATAATTACTTATTTTCAGTATTAAAAATACTGAATAATAAATAATTATCAATGATTCTTAGTATGATATTTCTATAAGGGTTTCTTCAGACATCTAACGAAAACTATTGTCCTTTCAACGCTCAAACTTCCTACGAAAATTTAACAGAGAACTGACAAATCTCTTGCACCAACTGAATGCAATAACCGTCTCGTGAGTTCTCGCCATCGTCGGGAAACGTAGCGGGAAGAGAACGGTGGTGTTCATCCCGTCGAATCTCTGCGAAACCGACGTGTGTGTCGCGATCGAATCATTGAAAATGGGGTCCATGTGCCTCGGAGTTCTCGAGACTCCGAAGAAGATGCGTGCACCCTTCGAGTTTGTCAGGAGTGAGTCGGCGAGTTGACAGTTTTTCGCGAGACACCGAGTGCACGATTCCTCGAGTGCAGGAGAGCGGCAGTAATAGTGGTGGTAGTAATAGTAGTAGTAGTAGTAATTTGGTAGTACAGTGCTAGTATAGTAGTTGGTAAATATACAGTGATCAGAGTGAAGTGTGGAAGTCGAGATCTCTCTCGTCGGTGGTAGTGAGTCGCATCGAGCTCGACGACGAACAGCAGCGACGAGAACAAGACTTCGCGGGCTCCTCAAGAGGAGGAAGACCGACCGACGCTACGTCGTCGACCGGGGTTTCCGGTCGCGCCGCTCGCTCTCCGTCGTCGATCGACCTCGTCGACGAACGGGGAACCAAGTGCCAAGTTGTCACTCATCGCTTCGCGCACGACGTCTCACGGGGATATCGGTCGCGACCGCGACGACGAATGCGGGTCAACGTTATTATTACCGCCCCTCACCGCGGCTTTCTTTTCTCGTTTCGTTACCCAGGCAGAATGGAAAGTCACGATGACGTTAAAATGATCGATGAGAAAATCACCACGATAATACAAAAGTAAAAATCAAGGAAATAAGGCTCTCTCTATCGATCAAAGAAAGAGGACCTATAAGAACCTTCTGCAATGTGAAAGAAAAAATATCGAGGAAATAAAAAATATTTATTCGGTGGACACTATTAATATATGTTCACTAATATAAAATACGCTACTTTACGATATTTTAAATAAAAAAGTACGCGCTTTCTTAAAACTCTTTACTTTTCTAATTGTTTGTTCTACCCAAATAAAAGGATTTAGATTTAGAAAAATATATTATTAGTGCTTACTGAATAAATATGTTTTATTTCTTTAGGTGTTTCAAGGTATCTTTTAGAGATGATCTTTAAATATTTTTTCTCAGTGTAAAAGCGCACTTTTCGACCGTGATTCGATCATCTCGCGTCATTTAGATGCAATCATAATTTTCTGTTCTACTTGGGTATTGGCGACGTCGATTCGAATCGTTCACTGCTCGTCACTTCCGGCTCTTTTCGGACCCCTCGACTCTACTACGTGCGTTTCTTCGCGCAAAGTGGACGCGTTTATCGGGGGGAAGAGATTACGTGTCTACGGCATGGAAAGGCGTTCCAAGCTGGAAAAGCGTCGATGAGTGGCACTCAACGACGACGGAAACGCGAGGAACAAACACTTATTACACAGACGTTCCCACAGATCGGTCGCGCCGGTGAGACGTTGGCGCGATGCAGCGAAATTACACACGGGGGGGTGCGATGACTCGGTTAGACTAGGGTGATTTGCTTCCTGTCGCAAACGGAGCTACCTTTCGTTCTTTTACTCGATAAAAGTTAGTGCCACGTACAATAAAACCGTTATCAATCTATACTTTCAGTCCGTTCTCTCTCTCTCTCTCTCTCTCTCTCTCTCTCTCTCTCTCTCTCTCTCTCTCTCTCTCTCTTCCGCTCTCTTTTTCGCCCTCTCTCTCCTTCCCCCGCTCGTTTTCTCTCCCCGCGACTGCCTCGTTTTTCTCGGTTTCGCTTCGGTAAATAACGTCGGAGCAGGTTTGGGAACGGTGAGAAAAATTAATGCCCGTCCGCCGCGGGCCTAGTAGCTCTTGAATCTTCGCTAGATGGTTAGTAATGGCATTACCGTGAACAGTGCCGTATTATGCAACCGCTCCCGCGCAGATTAAGATTCTTAATGTAGGTACATCGAACGCGACGGGATGACCGAAATTCTGGAGGCGGGTAGTAGGCGACCGACCGGACTTGTTCCGCCCTTGTTTCGAGGCTGTTTCGCGCAACCCAGTAAAGCGTCAGTTGCTGATATCGCGTGAATGCCAATCAGAGCAACGCGAAATAATTAAGTTAACAATTC